GAGTTTCTTGTCACGAATTCCAACTACAATACGGTCTCTGATCAAATCTTCTTTCAGATTACCATAATTGCAATGTCTGCTAAATGGTATAAGCCGGTAATAAATTCATCTACTGTCTCGCCTTCTCTTTGTTTCCTTCTATTAAATTTGGACCGTTCATAGATTATGTTTCTTCTGGCTATGAAGTGATCATTGAATTTTTCTTTCACTGAAGAGTATTTAGGCCAAGCTACTGCCTGTTCTCCTTCTTGTGGTTCAGGGGCTGGAGGAAATTCAAAACTATTGAAAATTTCCACTGCACGGTTCCCCATACTTCCAGGATAATGGTGAATATCCAGATTTATTATCGGTAACTAACAAATGTTACAACGTCGTCTGCGTCAACCCCACAAAGTACCCCGAGTTCACCCGAAGCACCCCAAGGCTATAAATAGCTAACACAACAGGTATGTTGGGGTGGGTGAGGTATTTTTTGGTATCTAGTGTATGAAAATGGACAAGGGACGAAAGCTCCAGCAATCCCCCATTTTCTGAACTGAAAAAAAAACAAGAGATGAAAAAAAAAACAAAACATTTTTTTTTTTATAAAATTTAATGTAATTGGTGCATGACAAATTCTAAATAGGCCATACCAATTTAGAATTCATGAATTGAGTCAATCAGTTTAGTTTTCGTGATTTATTCTACTAATAATAATAATTTTAATAATAATGATTTTATTAACACTTACACATTCCCCGGAGGGATTGGCAATGGTTACAAAAGTTTAAAAAGGAATCAGTGTTCTCCACAAGGGGTTTTAGGTGGGCCAACACCCGCTCACCAACGTACATCCAGCTGAAATTATTTGTAAAAAGCTTGCATTGTTCTTCCCAAGCCTAAACAAAAGAGTAGTCGCCCAACCCTTTATTTTGCTATTGTTTCAAGAGTCCAAACATAAACAATGACCACTGGAAGTCTGCAAGCAGTTATCAAGTGTATTAATGGCAATGTGTCAATCGCCTGAGTTCATTGTCGCCCGATATTGTTGCCACTTATTGCTCGCGATACGCAACTACAGTGGTTTCAATTTACAGCTGTATTTTTAATAATCGTCTTCCAATCACGAAACAAAGATGTAAATACGAACGAATGTATATGCACAGAAAATATATTAGCAGATTGCATGTAAACTCGAACAAAATTAAAATTCTAGCCATATTTACAACGTTCGCTCGATTTTCATCGTGAAAACAGCATGGAGAAAGAAAACTGGTGACCTTTTGGCCTACCCCATTCAACGACCATCGGCCACCCACCGTTGTTGGCGCTGTAACGATTTAGTATCTAAGTTGCATAGGGGAACAGTGCATTCTGGGTGTTTGTGTACTGAATTCGGAAAGCGGTAATAAACATCAAACACGGCTGCTGGATTAGTTTACCGCGAGTATTTGTAATTGAATAATATTTTAGTTATCTTTTCCACGTACTTTTTTCAATTTATCCATTTTTTATGTCTAATCTTTCGAGAACATAGCAGATTCTTTTATTTTGCCGATTGCTAGCATTTTTTCTTGAATTCCAAAACAACGTGTGAAAACGCAACGTATCGTGACCGTACATGCGTAAATGCATCTTACCGTCCGTCGGCACGGGTGAGTACTGATGCCACAAATAAAAAATTTTTTAAAGTTTGATTTTGACAAATCGTCTGTTTTGACGTCGGGGACAAATCACTTCGTATATTTTCTACATGTTTTGTACTTGCTTTTGGCATGCTCTTGGTTACTCGAAATGCATTTCATGAACGCAGAATAATTTGTGAACGTATAAATCACCGATTTCAAACTTTTTGCATTTCGTAAATATTAATAGTGACCAATCTGTTTGTATTTCAAAAAATTGTAACATGTTTCAATTAAATTAAAAAGAGAATAGTAAATAACTTAGTGTGTATTGCAGTTCATGACATAAATGCTAGAATGCTGTATGTAAATGATATGCAAATTAATATGCAAAATTTATGCTAATTAGGCCACCCACCAGCTATTTTGGATTGTGGAGAACCCTGAGGAATAAAAGGTTACAAAACAGTAAATAGATAAAATAAAACAAACTAAGCTAATACATTACAGATAATAGCAAGTATAAAATTGTAATACTACGATAGATAGAAAACAAAATGCAAAACTCAAATAGTGAATGAAGGTTGTCACTGGGGTTGCTGTCTACTGATATGGGTAAAGGTAAAGAAAAGGCGATGATGAAATTTGAATGGCACCACTAATATTCTTCAAACTGGTATTTTTTATGAATTAAAGTCATGTATGATATAGGACTTATAATAATATGTGTAAAATTCAAACGCGTCTCCCATCTACATGTAATAGTAATATTTTATTACATATTTAGAAATAAAAACAACATTTATATCAGTTAGCAATTAATATATAGGCAGCAAAATTAATTAACATAATAAGATAACTTATGCAATTTCTTTTCATGTTGTGAAGCTCCTGTCTACAAAGCTTTAAATGCTTTTGGTCATTTCCTCATCTCTATTTTAAAGTAGATATCTAAGTTTCTTGAATGAATTGGTAATTTTAGCAGGGAATGCAATATCTGTCAAAATATTTTTGTCATTCTAAATTCTGCATATGTTCTTTGTATTTTGACTCTAGAAATTTATTTAGTTTAGTGACAATAAATGCTAGTTTTTTTGTTCACCAGGCTGTATTCGGGAAGATTTTTAATTTGTGATTAGTATTTCAACAGATTAGTTTTGATGGTAATTATAATAATGGTACTTCTCCTACCCCAGATCTACATACATTTGTTCTGTTGGGGTTTTATCCCATTTAACATAAGTGAGAATTTCGAAAACCCCAATTATCTAAATCATATACATGTACCAGTAGTAGCATATTATGCTCCACTGAGTGCAATTTAGCCCTGGAATTTGAATATGAATTCTAGAATGGGAACTACATGGCGGGTAAACTCCTCAAAATGAATTAGAATTCTTGTTTACAGAAATTAAACCATAAATTTATGTGGAAATCGTTATATTAAGCTATAAGCTATGTTTTTAGAATTATCACAATATTAGATGTTTTTAAAAAAATATAGCAAAAAAAAGACGTTGAGGTAATCAGAAATTTACACATAGCAACATGATATAAAAAGCATGTTATAATAAAGTTACTGTAGAATACTTTATTTTCGCTTGGAATTTATTTTCACTATTTTCGCTGTAGAGATGATTCCGTGAAAATAAAATCCAGTGAATATACTTTTTTCCTATATTTCACATTAGGCTCATCAAAAATCAGTGAAAACAAATTCCATACAAAGCGCCCCAAAAACCTTTTCAGTGAAAATTAATTCCAGCGAAAATAAAGTATTTCACAGTATTAATGTAAACAGATTTCTGGGGTATTTGATATACATGTAAGACCTCTCTGGGTAAAATTAGCATATTTGGGTCAGATAATGAATGACCTTGCTCACACTTGTTTATTATCTTCTGCCAAACATGCTAATTTTACCCAAAACCTTCAAATGTCCAAGTCGGCGTCACTGTAGCCGTCGAATAAAATCCCTACAACTTATTCCTGAAGTTCGTCGATATCGTCCCACACAATTTGGACTTAGCACTTTTAATCCACGGATTTTGCAGTCTATCAGCTTGGCACTTTTCATTCATGTCTAATCATAATAAAGAGACAAGAAAAATGGGTTCGCTCTGCTGCGATGGCACACAATGCTTTTGTTTACAGTCTAGCAATCATCTTTGACCTTTATGCATCTGTGTGACATTGCAAAATTGCTGGCCCCAGTTATGGATTCGCATGCTGCTACAAAATATTTATAAAGCCAAAATAACGTGATTTCAACCACATTGGTTTCATTGTCGACGACGCTAAAGCTGAACGCAGTGCGACACTTGCTTAGCGGCTCTCCTTATACGATTTGCTTGAATGGTTTCGAAGGAAGCACAAACCAAATGGCCGCCCTTTTTAGGGCCACGACATATTTCAAAAAGAGAACTACCGTTTCTGCTTTCATATTTATTTTTATAGACTTGCTGACTGTTATGATTCTGAAAAAAATCAGTGGTGAACGCGCAGCCCTGAAGGCAGAAAGCTGTCACAGCTATTTTGCGTTCACCCCTTGTTTTACGCAATTACCCGTAACAATTTTTATAAGTATCATGACAGACTTCAAGAAAGTCAACTGTTAATACAACCACAGTCAACGAATAGAAAATAGTTTTTTTATTTTTTGTTTTGTTTTGTGTATATGTTAATATATGTATATGTGTATGTATGTGTGCATATATACATACATATA